AAAATACAATAAAGCATCCATGGCGTTCGCACATTATCCTTAGAGCATCTGGTGTCCGCAATGGTAGGACGCGCGCAACTATGCCTCGGAGAGCAGAGGTGATGTGGGAGACAGGGGTGTATTTTTTTTTTTTTTATTGAGGGAGGCTACATTTACGGATAGAGGCGGGTACCTCGTATCTTACTATTTGTTATTGTTTTTTAATAGGGTCGGCGTGTTACCCTTCCTCTATTTTTTTCTTTGTTTTTTTTTCTTTTTTAATATTTTGTTTTTCTTTTCCCGTTTATATTAAAAAAAAAACTCCGTCGGCCTTCTATAGCGGGGGCGGCGGCGGGAGCGCCGCCGGGGGAACTCCCTCTCTTTCTCTAGCTCCTACACCTCCACCCCCCCACCACCCTCCTCCCGCCGCCGCGGCGGCGGTTCCTCCGGCCCACTCCCACCCGGCCCCGGCCCCGGCCCGGGCGGCCCCCCTTCCCCTCCCGCGCTCCATCCTTCCGCGCACCCCGACCCCGACCACGGTCTCCCTCCCCCGGCCCTCTCCGCCGCGGCGGCAGCAGACCCCCCGCCATCATCTCCTCCTCGGACGAGTCCTCTGACCTGGACGAGCGCCGCGCCAGGCCACGACCACAGCGTCGTGCTAGGCGTGTGAGTGTGAGTGTCAACAGGCCGCCGCCGCCGCCGCCGCAGCAGGGGTTGCCGGTGGTGGCGATCTGTGAGGGGTGTTTGCGGCGGAGGGAGTTGGTGGTGGCGGGGTATTGTGTGGATTGTGAGTATTTGGTTGGGGCGTGGCCGGGGATGAGTACTGGTGGCGGTGGGGGTGGGTATGATCCGTCGGGGAGGGATAATGTGTTGGGGGCGACGGTGAGGAGGTATATGAGGGGGGAGGAGAGGGATTTGGCGAGGGAGAGGGAGAGGGAATTGGAGATGGAGTGGGAGCTTAGGGAGCGGGAGAGGGAACGGGAGAGGGAGGCAATGAGAGATGCGGGGAGGAGGGGGGTTAGGTGGGAGAGAGCGTTCACGGTGAGGGATGGAGAAAGGGATAGGAGATATTATCCTGGCGAATCAGGAGGATACTACAGCGATACGGATGACGAGAGCGGGTGGTAGGGAGGAGTATGAGGTGGTACGTTGTGCCGAATTAGGGAGCGCCCAACGGAGGGCCTATGAGCGTCATGAACACGAGCGACGACCTTACGACAGCAATGATTATGGTTTTGTAAAAAGGAGCATGAGGGATTGTATGTCGCGTGTGGCATAGCGATCTTTATACCGCGTGGTTTGGAAACAGCGGGACCCAACCAAGAGTTTCGTTGAGAATGAGAACAAGTGGATAATGATATGTATTATCTCGGGCGAACTCAGGCGAGCCATTCCACGTGAGGACAACCGGCTGGTACTCGAAGCGACTCCGCGTCGTATGCGAGAGACAGCACGCGCTGATCCAAAGGTATTACAAAGCTGGGCTGGGAAAGCGCGTCTACACGACCGGATGCGAGACGCGGAGGTGGCAGGGTCATCAAAATCAGCAATGTCAGCGACCATCGCCCTTGGCCCGTCTTCGGGGCCTTTCTCTCCTCCAAGACATCGTGAGCTCCCCAGCAACCACCCATTTTCAATAGGGGGAAACCGCAGGCTAACTCAAAAACCCAGCCCATACAATGCTAACGAAAAGAGCGCCGAATTTTACGTCCGCACGCCGCAAGAGTCCGACTTGCCCTTGCAGTGCGCCCAGGAAATCCTGTCCCTCTTCCTCCTCAGCGTTGCTTCCAAAGTCCAGAGCGTTGGCGGTAAAACATGGCGGGCGGCGGGCTCGGATCCTAGTGAAGAAAAGGACAGCGAGCCGCGGACGTGGTTGAACTCGACTTTTGAAAAGCTCGCCAGGGGCGTGGAGATGGCAGGGCTGGCCCCACAACATTACGGAGGCCTACACACTCGTCACCCCGGCTTTTAATCACTATGGACTGCTACCCACTAAACCAATGAGTGAGACTAAACTCCTCTATCTACCTTTCTGGTCGTAGGAGAGAACTGGTCTCGGCTGTGAAAGTGGCGGAGTACCCGGTGGGGGGTGGGGGGGGGGGGGGGGTTGTGGAGTACTGGTCGAACAGATGGAAGTGTGGCGATAGGGGATGGTGAAAGAGGTCAATAGGAGACGTTGAGAAGAGAAAGGATGGGATAGGTACCTAGTGTTCCTCTGTCTTCAGATGTTTCGTTACGATGCGTTCTGTACTCGGATCTTGTACTTCGGTCCAACACTGCAGGTGTTAAAGGCCCAATAATACGCTTTGCAAAGCTGGAGGTTGGCTGCAGTCCCCGCCGTAAAGAGCATCGCTCATGCCCTTAGTAACTCTCATTCGTTCTTCCAGAGTGCAAAACCACAGTGCCAGCAAGCTACGAAGGTGAGTCTGATTTAAAACCCACGGTCGAGGACCAGAATCCGGCTTGGGGCCTGGCTCGACGATAAGCTGAGCTGCTGCCGTTTCATTGTGGATCCAAGCCTTTATTATGACCACATTCGCATATCGTGTGTCTGGCGTCGTCCATGTTTTCACCATGAAAGGCATGAAGGGTTGGCACCTCCCATATCGGCCGCGGAGGCAAGGTTGGCTCCCACATTCTTTCGTTGGCGCTGAGCTGTAAAAGGCTGAGGGCAAGGCAAGCAGTCTCGTGTTCTTCCAACAGCTCTTGGGAGACTGGGTTACCAGCAAGGCCTCGCCGTACGTAGGCCCTCACGCCAACCATCAAGACAGTGACGCCGAGTTGCACAATAGTGGCAGACCAGTGCAATGCCCGAAGGCCAACGAACTGCACGACATACCCAACGGCGGTAACCGTGGTAGCTGTGGCTGCCAGAAGGCTGTGTTTCTGTGGTCTGAGGCGGGACGTTTGGAGCCACCTATCGTAGGGGCTATTGTATTAGATAGCAAAAGATGAGAAACGCTGCTCGCCCACGGTACATGATCGTTGCAGCCAAACAACTTGTGTCTTTGAATTGATTCAGAAGTGTCGCTCCTCTGTGATTCCCTCGCTGACATGACCACAGGTCATAACGCCGATGATGACTAGATCGGTACCGACGAGGAAACATGGGTATCCATACGACGCGACTGGGTTGCCCGCCTTTTTCCCACTTCCAATAATAGGTCGCCACACCTGGCACCGCCATAACTGCAAGCTGCAAGGCGATTCCAAAGACGACCCATATCCACAGCTGCCGTGTCGGCACCGTCGCGTTCTCGACATTGAGGGTTAGGTTTGGTGAAGCATCCCGCAACTCATCGATACTGTCGTCGCGCCTATTCCCCCACACCATGAGTTCCCAAAGGGCGGTGCGAAGGTCGACGACTACTAGCTCCTCGTCGACGAATAGGTTTTTCATGCTGCGGGGTTCCCAATCATGCGGACTATCTCCTTGCCGCTCCAAAGCTCGCATACGTCGGGCGACGTTGAGGACAAAAGTTCTTATTCTACTGTCGCCATGCTTTCCCGGGCCCTTCCAACCAGAGCTTTCAGCTGCCGTGCGCCCCCAACCCGGATCGCGCTGACGATGATGGTCAGAATGCCCAACGGGCCCATGGCAAGGAGGACGTTGTCCGCCCATCCCATGCTCATGCCGAGGAACTGCTTCGTGACTTGCTCCCCGAACAAGGTGAGCAAAGGAGCAAGGTCGCTGATGAGGTTGTTGGCGAAGCCGTCCCCGGGGAAGTCTGCACTGCCGCTGGGTTCCGTTGCTTGCGCCATGTCTGAAGCAATACTTGATCGAAGATAATGGATGGGGATAGACACCCGTCGGAGAAACTAGCAAGGAGAGGTTGGGCGGCTCTGGGACGCCGCTCGGGTTGAATTTCGAGTCAACGGCTACATGCACACCACGGTTGCCACGACGACATTGACGGGCCTCTGTTCTGCATGCTAAAATATCTGGACAAATCACCTGGCTCGGCAAGCACATGAGGTGAAGGACATTGGCTGGAAACCGCGCCGGGGGGCGTCCCACAGCGTGTCAGCCATAACCACGTAGCCACATATGTTACTGTACGTACAAAGTTAGCATCGGTCTCTTCGCCATCACGGACGCGAGAAAAGGTCAGCAACCACTCCATCATTGCGCTGCCCAGACAGAGAGTCAGAAATCCGGACTGTCGGGGTTTAGGCCACCGAAGCTGCTACTGGGATTAAGCACAAAGGTAACGTGGGCCGGGGCTTTCCTTAACTAAGGGAGAATATTGGTTATGAATAAGACAGCTACCGCATCGCGGATGAGGTTACATTGGTCGCCATTTCCAACTCCATGAGATTGCAATCCGACTCGACGCCGTTCTCCGTGTCTGTGTCAAGGCAGCCGTGCAACATGATGCTCCCTGTTGCACTGGCACTAAAACTCGTTCTACGAATAAGGACGCAATGTTAGCGAAGCTTTCAAACCAAGCCCAACACCAAGACAAAGATCTACTCACCCCGAAACCCCTTCACAAGTCCACGTCTCCCTCACGGTCAGACTTATCTCATCCAGATTGAACCGAAACACGGTCCCAGGAGTATCACATTTCGACCACTCCCCATCCCAGAGTTTTGCCAGGTCAACATCCTGCACCATGCATCCTATAGTCCTGTTGGTCGCCGAGTGGTAGGAGTTGAAGCCGAAGGTGCCCATGGAGCCGCCGTCGTCCCAGTTGTAGACTTTTAGTATGAAGTCATCAATCTTCCAATAGGTAGGGCTGCCCGGAGATTGGGAGGTTTCGGTGCAGTTGTCTGCTGCCAGGGATACTCCAGGTAGGAGAGATATGAGGGCCGTGAATGGGCGCATCTTGTAGGCGCTGGAAGTGTGTTGAGCTAAGGCCTACATTCACTCCTCGACTTTTCAACACGCGCTGGATATTCTGCACGACTTGAGTTGGCTTATAAAAACAGACCTTCCTCCCATCCTCATCCCCATTTTGACCTTACTATTACCCTCTCCCAAACTGGCCGTCTCCGAAACCGTTCCCGCGGCTAAACGAAAGCGGGCCTCTCAGAACGAGGGCAATTTGAGTGCGCCAGCAGATTCTATATGCCGGGGCCCCTAATTAATCGGGCAATATACCCCACGCAACTACTATTGGACGCGTGGATAGCAAGTCCAGTCACCGTTTACGGTCTAAGGTGTTTGTATAAGATCGACGAGAACACTATTGCCACGACTTGAGATGATCCGGGATTTGAGGGGGTGTGAGGATGTCTGCCGGGTGGTGTGCGAGTTACAAAATGTGCGTTACGGCCGGGGTTTGAAATGCCGTAGAGTTTGTCTTGTTTAGCACCTAACGAAGAAGCAAGAGTGCCCAAGGTGTCTGTTGATCATGCGATCTATCTGGAGTGTCCTGCTGCCCGCGGTCCTCACAGGGGCTGTGACCGAGGGAGATTGGAGATCCAAGGTGAACGTGTAAGTATCCGTGACTGACCGCCAAACTCCGGCATCACATTCGAACGACCGCTGATCGGTGCCGCACCAGACAGCGCAATGGTTTTTATCCCTTGGATGTCGTCGACAAGTTCGCGGAAGCCACCATGACCAAAGTTGACGCATACATGGATAAGAAGGTTGCCGCGGGGAAGAACAACGGGTGCACATTGGAGACTGCGGGCGTGCGGAGGGAGTGGTACGCGCACCCCTACCTTCCTTCTAGTACCTTGGAGCGATACTAAGTCGGTCTGATAGGGGTGATATGACGGTCGAGCAGCGGGCCGACTTTATCAACGCTACGCTCTGCCTCATGAAAGCGCTGTCCAAGGCGCTTCAAGATCAATTTCTGGGCGCCCGGAGCCGCTTCGACGATTTCATGGACTATCACCTGACGCACGCCGGGTCTCTGCACGATACCATTGGCCTGTTCCCAGCGCACAAGTATTTCCTGCTTGCATACGAGACGGCGTTGAGGAACGAGTGGTGGCTACAAGGGATATCATCCGGTAAACTTAGTTCCCATATTCTTTTACCTCCTAAAGGTGATGCTGACTTGTCAAAACAAACAGTACATGAACTACGACCGCTACACCAAAGACCCTGTCAACTCAGCGCTCTTCAACGGAAACGCCACATCCATGGGCGGCAACGGTGCCCCTGACCCCAACTACAAAGGCCTGCGTACTAGCGCCGGCCTCATGAAATCCGGCGGCGGAGGCGGCTGCGTGACCACTGGCCCCTTCAAAGACTACATGGCCACGGTCGGCCCCGGCGCTCCCATGATGCCCAACGTGCCCAAAAACCCCCTCCCCTCCGGCGGCGGCTACAATCCCCGCTGCATGCGCCGCGACGTCAACGCCGACGCCGCCCTCGGCGCCACCGCCGACCGTGCCCTGGCCCTGATCCAGCAATCGAAGGACATCAACACCTTCTACAACACCCTGTTGACGCCTCCACGCAACGCATCGGACCCCTACAACTGGGGCATTCACACGGCGGGCCACTACATCGCGGGTGGCGACCCGGGCGGTGATCCGATGGTGAGCCCGGGCGATCCCATCTTTTATTTCCACCACGCGGCGTTGGATAGGCTGTGGTGGATTTGGCAGATGCAGGATCCGGATACAAGGGTGAATGCACAGGTTACGCTAGGGGGGACGAACGGTGCAAGCAGGAAGCTTGATATGGCGTGGTTGGCGCCGGATGTGATTCCGGTGTTGGAGGCGCATGATGGATTGGGGGGCCATGGAGGGGCTTTCTGTCATGTTTATGTTTAGGTTGGTTGAGACGGAGCAGGCCCTTGCTTGTAGGCAGCTTTCCCATAAACTGTATTCATCTTGTCGTCGAAATGCCGAGAGACATGTCGCGGATGGTGTCACCCAGCTACTAAGAGCATCAACGGCACTAGCTGATTAGGTACCAAGGCAAAGACCGACTTACCTAACGAAGGTACCTAGGGTAGGGTCATGATTATTTTATACCACGGAATTACTTCGTTTGCACAATATTAGATGTTTTGTTCCAAGAGCTACGGGCTGATTCAGATCTGTATCAAGTTATAGGAAACAGCTCAGGGGTCAGTCGAGAATCATTTCCTATCCGGGGGTGTGTCTCGCCACCCACACCTCGACGGACAATGGACGTATTGTGGGATGACGTACGTCCACCAACATGCATTGGGCGACAACCTACAAATGAGACTACAGTTAAACAACCCCCATCGATACTCGTCGGACCTTACTAGCCAAGCCAGCCTTAGCTCAACAAGCCAATAGCCACAAACCAAACTTAACAATATCCCACAACCCCAGCCAACATGTCAACACTGGCAGAGCCCCCTCCATCCTACGAACAAGCTGTCCATGGTGGCCCAGAGTCTCTCCCCCAAGAACCGCGCAACGGCATCCCCCTCCCCGCCCGCCGCAGCATGGGAAGACGAGCTCCGCCCCCTCCCCCCAGGCTGGGTGCGCGAGTTCGACCCCGACACCCAACACCAATTCTTCGTCGACACCCTAGCCTCGCCCCCCCGCTTTATCTGGCACCACCCCTACGACGACGACACCTACCTAGACTCCCTCCCACCCAGTCAACGCTCCCAAACCCGCACCACCCACTCGGGCCCACCCCGCCGCCCCAGCGCCGCGGACATCGCCGCCGAGGACACCGACGGGGACTCCTCCTCCTCCGATACCAACTCCCCCCCCACTTCCAGCACCACCAAACGCCTCGGCCGCAAGCTCAAAGACCGCGAA